AAAATTTGGTGAAAATCATAGAGAGAAACAGATCTCTACAAAAGAAGAGTGAGAGGGAGAGAGAAAGAGAAAGAATATCTATATGTATGAACTGGGAAAAAAAACAAGAGATGTCAAATATTTTGTTTTACTTATTTTTTGTTTAAAATTTATTTCTTAGTGGCTTGTTTGACTGAGATTTATTGAGAAGAAATAGATAAAATCATAGTTATCAAAATTGGATCGGACATCAAACCGGTAGAGGGATCAGATCAATAGTTCACTGGTTTTACCATTGGGTCAGCTGGTTGGACCAGTCGTATTATTAAAAAATAAACTTTTTTATAAATATAATAACTTAACTACACAAATATGAAAGATGCTACAATACATAAAACTTGCCTTAGAGACAAGACATAAAAGGCCATTATTACTTTTGAGAATGCAAATTAAAACACAACTTGATGGGCTTGGCCTAGATGAGGCCCAACTCAAGTAATGGTCCCGGCCCAGACAAGGCCCAACTCGGATAGTGGGCTTGGTCCGAACAAGTCCCAGCTCAAGTAATGGGTATGGCCCAGACAAAGCCCAATGGGCCCAACCCAGATGAGACCCATCTCGACTCACCACGAAGTTGAGGGAGCACAATCACCCACGCTATCCTGGAGCTAGGGAGTCAGTCACGCCACCTTGGAGCTAAGAAGTCAGTCAAGCCATCCTGGAGCCAAAGAGTCAGTCATGTCAATCTGGAGTCACGTCATCCTGGAGTCAAGGAGTCAACCACACTATCCTAAAGTCTCAGCCACACCATCGTGAGGCTCAATCTATAACTCATAAAGAGATCTCCATGCCATCTCTACACTCCTTGAAGTAATAAAACACCCAGGCCATCCTAACCCTTCACTGTGGAGTAGGTGTTGTCCGACTTTGATAATGACAATTTACGTGCAAGTGTACACGATCAACAAGTAATAAAGTGATGAGTAGAGTATCGTTTTCACAGAGAATTATTACTAATAATTTCCGAATACTAACTTTATATCAATTTAATTTTATTTAAACAATTGAAATTAAACTATGAAATTTCTACTTTAAAACTAAATCTAAAATTACTAATCAAGAACTAATTTCACCAGATAAAAAAATTTAAGATTACAACTTCCTATAATGCTTCGTATAAATCTTTCCACTCTCTTTCTAGTTAATTAAACAAAATAAGTTGTTAATTGAAAATTGAAAATTATTTATTAACCCTCTTCTGATGGTTATATAAAAATATCTTTCCCAATTAAATCACTATATTCCTATGCAATATAAACTGGAACAGTTTCATTAAGCTCAAACTCTCATAAAAGTTACACACGACATATATGTATATTTCTATCCTATACACAAACTCAGCTATTGAATCCTAAGAAGAAATAACTAGATGTATGTTATCATATTCAAATTTAAATCCAATAATCAATCTTCCAATCTCATCCAGGGAATCAAATTAATTGTTGGTCCAACAATCATATATCAAACACAAAATATGATAAACAACTTATGTATGATCAATAATAACTGAAAACGAGAGCAAATTAATTTAACTAAATATCAGGTTCCATTTCAATCTCAATAAAAAAAAAATTAGTTCATATCGTAATTGAAAAACTTCATCCTCAAAATAATCAACATCTTAGAAAATCAAAAACTAAAAGTAATAGAAAAGAATGAAAATTGTGTTGCAATCTTATCTTTAATCTCCCTCTAGCTTTCAATTCCAATCTTCTTTGTGTTACTTTCTTTGATCCTTGTCTTCAATTCAGTATGAATCCTTGGTTCTCCTTATGTTAGCAGCCCTTCATAGTAGTATATATATATCTGCTTAAATCTAACATGTGTGAAACATGAGAGTTCATTTCTACTCAAAAACAAGTCAGAATTCTTCTAAAATCCACGTTGAAGCCCCGCAAATCAGCGTAGCTGTGCTAACTTTCTGCCCTCTAGAGCTACAGATCTACATCTAGAGCTGCAACGTTGATCCCCTTTTATGCGCACAACTGTCTTTGTTGCTAAGCTCGCAATTAATCCAAAACTTAGGCTACCCAATGACCTTTTTTTTTCTTCCAAATCATAATCCCTACAACACAAAATTAAAACACACAAAACGAATAAAATAAATATAAAATACTTGGAAACTCACACTTTTATCAAGCTAAGAATACTCAATTTGTAGTTATAAAACCCACTCATCAGTAGGTCATCTTGACTGAACCACTTAAATTGTGTTTTGCTTGTGTTGATTCTCCTCATTCATTACTGTACGAAATACTTGACAGGTGGTGCATAAAACTGATTTGTGCATCATTAGTTTGGCACTGTTTGTGAAAAACGACTAAGTTTTTTACTTTTTTTCTATTTCTTCCTACTTTCTTTCCATTTTAAGGCAATTATGACTAGGTCCATGAATCAACAAATGGAAGAGAACGATCCACCACATATCGACGAGATCCTATCTTCACCAGCAAACCCCATCGTTTCAGCAAATCCCATTGTCAGACAGCAACTACTGAAGACAATGTAGGTGTTGGTGAACCAAAACCAATAGATCCTCTAGTTGATGCTTGCCAGATACTCTCAAGGAGATATGCCCCAGCCCCTAGGAGGAGAAACACCCCTGGAAATCCGTCCAAGGCACCCCTTGGCAAGGCCTCCAACGCCAAGGAGCCCAGCACCAGGCGCCCCCTTGGAGTGCTAGGGTATCCCACCTCAGAGCCCAAGTGCCTAGCACTAGGGTGCCCCCTTGCAGCGCCAAGACATCCCTCCTCAATGCTCAGGCTCCTCTTCTCATGTGTCGGCTTCGTCCTCCCATGCTGGTGACCCTCATATGCATAAAGACGAGGGGAAAAACCAGTATATGGACCATGAAAGCCGCTACAAAGGTCCTTTAGAGAGCGTCCCTAACCAATGGGATGAAAAAAATCAAAGAGGTGCAAAATTAACTGGGCGGCGTCTTCAACGCCATCAAAGTGCGGGTATCGAGAATAGTCGACAACTTTGTGAGGCGCATTGACACCCCATTTGTAGCTAATGTGACCAACTACCCTCTCCCCCCAAAGTTTAAGATGCCAACCGTGGAAGTTTTTTATGGCTCCAAAGGTCCATTGGACCACCTTGACACCTACAAATCCCTGAAGCAACTTTACAGTATACCAGACAAGATTATGTAGAAGGTTTTCTCTACCACCCTCAGAGGATCTGCCCACCAATGGTTTGCCAAGCTGACCCCCGGCTTCTATTGACTCTTTTGTTGAACTAAGCAAGTCCTTCGTCTCACACTTTATTGGAGGACATTGACACCAAAAACCAACCACCCACCTGCTCAGCGTCAAGAAGGACTGAGATGAAAGTCTAAGGAATAACCTCACTCATTTTAACAAGGAAGTCCTCTAGATTGAAAAACCAAATGACAAAGTCATCATGACGACCTTCATAAAAGGGTAGCGCTCATCTAGCCTTATGTGTTCAGTTTTGAAGCGCCCACCAAAGAACATGCTAGAATTACTATCAAAAGCTTGAAAATACATAAAGGTTGAGGATGGCATCAAATCCAGATGAGTTGAGTTCTCACGTAGAGGGGAGTGAGAAAAATAGGAACCACCAACCATAAGCTAGGAACACAACATCAACGCCCAGCGCCTAGGAACCCACGCCCATGGCACCTAGCATCAAGGCGCCCAACACCCTCTCTCATGGTGCCCATCTTCGTCGCCCCCTATGCCCAGTGCCCTCATCTGAGCACCCAACGCCATTGCCCATGTGCCCAACTCTTGAGCTCGTGTGTCTGCACCCGTGCCACTGTGCACCAAGTGCCCACTCGCCAGCCAGCGTGCTTCACGGCCCTCGCCTTGGTGCTTACCTCGCAAGTTTGGGCGCGTCGCCCATTGCATTGCGTGTGCCTAAATCTTCAAGCAGTTCCCGTGGTGCCCGCCTCCTTTCATCTAGAGCCCTCACCTCTCACGCCCGATGCCCATACTTTGCTAGCTTTGTGCCTCCCACGTAACACCTCACTACTTGTGCCAACGTGCGTCTCCTGCCACCATTACCCTCTGGTTATCCTCATTTTCATCTCCCTTCTCTTCTCTATCTCTTAAGAATGAGGCTCCTGAGTCACCAAAAGCTCGCCCTAACTCTGCCTCTTTTCCTCTGCACCTGTGTGCCTGAACTCGTGCACCTACGCACCCACTCACCAGCCAGGGCGCCTAGCGGCCCTCGCCTTGGCGCCTATCTTGCGAACCTTGTCATTTGCCCCGATAGTTTGGACGTGTCGCCCGTTGCATCGCGTGTGCCCAACTTTTCAAGTAGTTCCCCTAGCGCCTGCCTCATCTCGTCTAGAGCCCTCTCCTCAAGCGCCCTCACTTCTCAAGTCTGATGCCTACGCTACGTTAGCTTTGTCCTCCCATGCAACGCCTCACTGCCCACACTGGCGCGCATCTCCTACTGCCGGCACCCTCTAGATTCCCTCATTGCCATCTTCTTCCTCTTCTCTATCTCTTGAGAGAGAGAGGCTCCTAAGTCATTAGAAGCTTGGCCTAACTCTGCCTATGTTCTTGTGTAAGCAGCCTGAATCTCTAGGTTAGCGACTCTCTCACGAGTCACCAGAAGCTTGGCCTAACTCTGTCTATGCTCTTGTGTAAGCAACTTGAATCTCTAGGTTAGCGACTCTCACATGAGTCACTAGAAGCTTCGCCTCACTCTGCCTCTGCTCTCACGCAAGAAGTCTTAGTATCTAGTTTAGCGGCTCTCTCACGAGTTGCCAAAAGCTTGATCTCAAGAGGTGCAACTCTCTCACGAGAAACCCTCAAACTCTACCTCTGCTTTCACGTAAGTAGCCTCCCTCCAGCTTAGCAGCTATATCTCTACAGTTCGATCTGTCTATCTTTCTCATCAGGTAATCATGTTGGATATTTTGATACTGGAGTAACATTCTTCTTGCCCTCTCTAGCTACACCTATGGAACTCAATCCGCCTGTAACCTAGTGCCCATCTCCTAGCACCCTGTCTCTGGCGTTCCTTCTTGGCATCTGTACATCAGTAGCCTGAAGCCTCGAGCGCCCTCTATCACTCTCATCTGGCACGACAAACCGTAAGGAAGTGGGAGCCCTATTTAAAGTCATATGTTGCTAAAAAAAAGGAGAAAGTCAAAACAGCTTCAACTACAAAGTGCCCGCTAACCAAAGAATTTAAGGCCAACCAGATGGACATGGTCAACTCGGACAATGATCCCTGCTAATGCCCTCTCCCCCAAATCCCATTAGGTACGGGGCATGGGGGAAATGATGGACCTGGCCCATATGAGGCCCAAATCAAGTAATGGGCCTAGACAAGGCCAAACTCGAATAATGGGACTAGCCCGAACAAGGCTCAACTCAAGTAATGGGCCCGGCCCAAACAAACCTCAATGGGCATGACCCAGATGAGACCCAGCTCAGCTCACTACGGAGTCAAGGGAACATAGTCAGCTATGTCATCCTAGAGCCAAGGAGTTAGTCACGCCATCTTAGAGCCAAGGATTCAGTCACACCATCCTAGAACCAAGGAGTCGACCACGCCATCTTGGAGCCAAGGAGTCTGTCACCCCATCCTGGAGTCAAGGAGTTGGCCATGCCATCCCGGTGCCAAGGAGTCAACCATGCCATCCTAAAGTCACGCCATTTTAGAGTCTCAACCACACCATCCTGAGACCCAGTATGCAACTGATAAGGAGATCTCCATGCCATCTCCATGCAACTACCACGTTCGTTGTGAGAATGGTGTCATCTCCATCGAATTAGTCTATCTGTTACGAATATGACGCCTCAATCTGTTAGGAGGAACCTATAAATTGTTAGCCCCACCTACACATGGGGGACATCTTGCATCCTATCTCACATATCACTCACCCTTGAGCACCCTATAATTCTTGAAGCAATAAAACATCCAAGCCATCCTAACCCTTCACATTGGCATAGGTCAACCTGACCAAACCAACAAGAAAAGGCTCAAAGTTGAAAAGTAAAAGCTGACTAGTGATTGATTGTTCAATCTCCATAGAGCTAGAAGACTATGAATTAGAGAGAGAGAGAGAAGACTTAGAGAAGCTATCTACAAAGTGGAGAAGACTAGATTTGAATCTTGTTTAGGACAAAATTGCCCAAAAAATTGATTTAAAATTTTTTTAGCTGAAATTCGAACTGGTAGGTTTTGAAAAATCATCCGGTTCACTGATTTTATTAAAAACTACCCCATTTAGTGGTTTAAAAGAAAATTCAATTGCTTTGGCGGTCCAATTAATAAGTTGGAGTGGTCTTGGGCCTAGTTCACGGTTCACGGGCCTAATTCAAAGACTTAATTTATAAATTCAATGCATTATGATCAGTGGATTAACAGTTATCTCAACATTGAATGAAGTCCATTATTGTTGTAATGGTTACAAGTTGTTAGGTCCCAAGATTATATACATATAGCATGGGTTTAATTATGGTACCGAAAAAATATTTTAAGGTATGATACTTTACTTGTAATCAAATAAAAATATAAAACATGTAAAAAAATTATTTTATTATTTTATCATTCTTATACTCAATAATTACAAATTATCCAAATCAAAATGCCATTAACACTATTAAAAAATGAGACTTATCACCTAAAGGCACGAAAAAAAGTACGAACTAGCCTGCCATAGTGTCATGTGGTACTTTAACCTAAACTATAATTTTTATTTATTTATTTATTTATTTTTTTGATTAGCAACTTTACTTTTTGTTGTCTTTCAATGTTTTGTTGTTTCATTTGCTGCTCGTTTGTGAACATTCCAGTTCTTCTACATCTAGAGTGCACCACAACATACATGGTAGAGCTTTCTGAAAATGTAAGGGGGGCCATGACATAATGTGTCAAAAAATAACATACACAATGCGTCCAAAATAGCATACACATTGTGTCCAAAAAGGTTACACATTCTGTCCAAAAAAACATACACAAAAGCATGTCAACTACTTCATCTTGGAGTTGCCCACACTACCCTTTTTCATTGTGTCTACCCCTGCACTACCCTTCTTGTTTGTTTTACTATCACTTCCTTTGTTTGACGCTTCACTTCCAATATTGTTTGTTTACTAGATGAACCTATTTATTGTAGTGCAATAAGAGTGACACATCTTTGCCCTTTCCAAAGGAAAGATGTTGGCTTCAGAATTGAGGTTGGTCCATTACTTGCACTACTTGTACAACTTCCTTTGTGGTTTATAGTACTGGATACTTGCACTGTAGGTTGGACCAGTCGCTCACTACTTTTCCTCGAGGGATGAAAGGCCTAATAGGATCTTTGGTGGCAGATTAGTGTCTCCTTATCTTCACAGTGTTAAAAAGACATGTTAATCAACTAATGCAAATTGTTAAAAAAAAAACATGTTATTTCAACATAATTCAACTTAGAAGTAATTTTGGTCTCCTTGTGGTGCAGATGCCACATGATTGCTCATTCTTTAAGCCACTTCATTGGACCTAGAAGTTGTTTCATTGATTGCTTGTTTTGACTTGACAGATTCATTGTGTTGCTTGCTAGTTTCTTTTGCATTGACACCACTAGTTGTGGTTTTTGTGCTCTTTGCTTGGGATATCTTTCTTTCGCTCTGTCTGAGCTTTCAAAGATATATCGACTGTAGGTATCCGGCCATCAGATACCTTAACACATCTTTTTGCATTGTGCCCTAGTTGTCCATATATACTGCATTTCATTCTTACCCTTACTCCCCTCTTTTTCTTTAACTTATGTGATTATGGGAAGTGACTTGTTCATCAAACTCTCTCCTTCTAGGTTTTTTCAGGCCTACCTGAGGACTTACTGAACTTAAGAGCCCCACACCAATGTGTCTTATCCTAGGCCACATCACTCTACCATTCATTGGATTTAGCATGTTCTCATAAGTCTTGAGTAATCTCTCATTTGAGTAGTAATCATCAACATATGACTATATCTTTACGTAAAAAATTGATTGCTAAAACAACATGATAGAATGGGATACCTGTGAGATCTCATTTCCTGCATGAATAGGTCATCTTTTTGATATCTAGACATAGTTGTTCTTTATAAAGGCCTATAACTTTGACTTTATCATTCTCATTCCAACTTGGGATCCAAGCGACTACATCTTATTTATTTTCTTCCAACCTTTTTTGTGCTTTGGAGAGAGTAAAATTGCATACTTCTTATTCCAATCTCTGCTATTTTGTACTATCCCCATTAATAACATATTCCCTAATTGCTGCCCAAAAACATCTGCATTAGTAAATCTCATGCATAGTTTGAAAATAGGGTTATTCATATTGGTTTTGGGGTTAAAAACCAGAAAATGTATCCTTCTTAAACTATCATCGTCATCTATGAATTGAAAATTCTTCTAAGCTCATCAAATGGTACAAAAGCATATTCTACTTCATTTTGTACTAGTGCAATCCCTTTCCCCTTATCTATCTTCTTAGGCATCACATATCATTGGTCTTATCCATCTGTTTGGTCATTGTATACTCTTTGCCCTTGTCCATTTCCCTGCAATTAGTAGCACCAACCCACTGTACTCCATTTTCAACATTTCTTTCATGTATATAAGATATCATTATCAGATAATGCATAATCACTTTCATTTAAACTCCTCATCACTACTAGAAAATCCATCGATTGAACCTTATAAGGGTCATCATCCTCACTTTCTTCCTGATTATTATCCTTCAAACCACCTCTTGAACCTATCTGACTTTGTACAATAAGTCCATTATGTTCAACATATAGATTAACAATCCTATCATGATAAACAAATTTAACCAAACTCAATGAATCACTATCAGTCACCAACAATCTCATTACACTATGACAACCACTGCCATTCATTTTGTAATGAAATCTAAAAGACTTATCAGCTTCATCATACCCCAACTCTTTTGTCATTTGTGAATATTTCCATTAGAGATATCTCATCACTGCCACAAACATCAAAGTGATTAGCCCTCTCACCCAAATAAACTATCTTAGCCACATTTGAAAATACATTACTATGAACTAATGCAGGGCCTAATAGTTTAATCATGGTCTAATTAACCAGTCACGACCTAATGAACAATCCTAATAAACTAATCATGGCATAATACACTAATCAAACAATACAAAAAGATAAACACCACATGAATGGATCAACATGCATATGAATTGTACTATATGGTGGCGCATTCAAATTACCACTAACCTCATACTGACCCTCTTGCAGTGTCCAATGTGTTACAAAAAACCCTAGATTTTGTCATAATCTATGCAACTGGACACCATTAGACTTCTTAATTTTTGCAAATGACCTATCTTTAAGAACACGATTCGATGACTCCTTTCTAATTTTGGAACAAACATTCACAAGCTTTGCATGTGTCTGTTAGGGCACCAACTAGGGTATGAATTTCCTACTTTGCCCTTCATTTTCTTGCCATGTGATGGATACATGGTAGTGTTTCCGTAAAATGTGTGACGACAATTATCGATTTGGGCAATGTGAAATAGAAATGTTAGTTTAGGGTGCAATATGAAAAATTTGGTAGTTAAGGGGGCAATGTGAAAAAAGTGTGATAGTTCAAGGGGTGAAAATATAATTTATCCTTTATATATATACATACTAGTTATTTCCCGTACATGAAGATACGTAGTAATAAAAAAAATAGTCAATAATAAGCATATTGTTGACTATTTGTGATGGTGACAGTCATAGATGGCAATGGTGATGGTGAAGGTGGGGCAGTGGGGGGTTATGGTAGGGGTGATGGTGGGATAGTGGCGGTGTTAGTGGTGGTGGTAGTGGGGATGGTGGTGGTGGGGTGACCACAATGGTGGTGGCGGCGGCGATGGTGGTGGTAGTTGTGGAAGAGGTGGCGGTGGTGATAGTGGTGGTGGAGCGGTGGCGATGGTGGTGGTGGTACGGTGGCGATAGTGGTGGTGATGATGGTGGTGTGGCAATAGGGGTGGTGGTAGTGGTGATGGTGGTGGTGGGGCAGTGGGTGTGGGATGGTAGTGGTGATAGTGGTGGGGAGGTGGGTGTAGTGGTGGGATAGTTCCAAACATTTTTTTTTTAAAGTACTTATGAGAAATTATAAGTTCTAGAAATAGTTTTAAAAAGGTAGCCCAAACACACCATTTGGAGTCTATTTTTTCTATTAAATTTGAGATGTTAATATTAGCTATCAGATTAACTTTATAGTAAAATTTAAAGAAATCTCAACCGCAAAAAATAAATGTCATTTTTTTAATCTTTTAAGATTTGAATTGTATTATACTTTATTATATATATAACAAAGTGTGGAATTTATGTGAGTTTAGGGAGAATCACAAGATGCAGAATAATTTACCTTGTTACAGAAATTACAATATAAAATAAAACTAAGATACTTACAATACTAGCACTAAGTGGGCTAACAGTGAAAGGGGATAGGAGAGAAACTCTTCATTTCCATCATTATGAGAGACCTCGAGATACAAGTTTATAGTGAAGGTAGGAGTGTTTTTGCTAGGTGTGCCGAATTTTTCTTAGCAAAAAAACCTTGCTTCTTCCTTCTCAGAGGAGACCTTTATATAGGCGTAAGGATTTTTGAAGAAATCTTTAGCTATGATGTCCTTTTATGCTTTATCTCTTGGTAAAAGACTTTCACACCAACTTTCGGTAGAAAAGTATGGGTGAAATACTTTTACTTGGGTAACTTTTGA